AAGGTAAGTGTGGTTTATTTGCACAACCATACTGTTCAAAAATATCAGTTGAATTTTAATCCATTACAGCCATTTTTTGTGGTGGATCACACACTGACCCTCAACAATTATTAAAGCATGCAGAAAAGGTCTACTCATAGAATATTCTCTGTTAGTCAGTCCATTTAATGTTTCAGATTAGGCAGATATATCATTTCAAAACCTCCCAAGCAAATGTGTGTTTCAGATATGCTTTTGAAATTTAAATGTCACGTTTAACCTTTAGATGTTAATATTAAGTATTAGTAAAATTGAAGCTTCTGCGTTGATTTAAACCTATTCTCGTTATTAATTAACCTGAGTTATAATGCCTGTAAAAAATTAAAACCTAAATAAAAGTGTAAGACAACTTATCTAGCTTGATTCGAAGCGAATTAGGGTTTACAACCAGTAAATTGTAATTTCATTGTCAGAACGTTTAATGATCTACATACAATGTATGGAATCTTTACCGCTTCATATAGAAAACCTGTTGCATTTGACCTTCAGGAATGTTTTCGAATTATTTCTTTACAAAAACAAAAAATAAGAAAAAAGAAATGAAATCATTCATGATTATGAAAACACAAAATATTGATATTACGTGTAATCAATGAATCAATGAATCAAGTTAAACTTTAAAAATAGTTATTCTCGAATAAACAGAGAAGCATGTGGAAGACACAAAATGGACAATCAAAATGCATTAGTCGAAAAGAAACCGACAACATTAGGTGAAACAATGAAAACGACGAAACGCAAACAACAGTCCACAAAACCGTACCAATAAAGCTAAAGGCTTAGCAACTCGAATCAATATTTTTAGGGTACAAATAATACAAAACTCCAATATTTCACAGCGAATCTGCATTAAAGACTACTCCGTCAATTAAAGAAGGCAGCTTAGATGTCCTCTGAATCATTACGTTATTGGGCATTTGAAACCATCAAACGAGTTTAATCCTGCCACATTCTGTATGTGCCTGTCTCAAGTCATGAGCCTGCAATTCATTGGTTTTCGTTTGTTTTTGTTCATTATTTTGCACATAAATTAGGCCGTTAGTTTTCTCGTTTGAATTGTTTTACATTTGTTATTTCAGGGCCTTTTATAGCTGACTATGCGGTATGGGTTTTGCTCATTGTTGAAGGCCGTACGATGACATATAGCTTTGACTCTTATTCAACAAATAAGTTCTAAATGTGCATAGAAGAGACAGCAACAGGCAGTGTCAAGATAAATTGACAATTCAGGTTACCGTAGACTTTTTTGTAAGTACTTGATCCCATCTTCTTTCAATGAAAATTGGCCCTATTTTACAACTGAATATTATCTATTTAAAGATACCTCTCCCAGTATGTACACTATCATATTACCCTTGTTGAAAGAATACACTTGTACATACCTTTTGGCATTCGACCGAGTATTTCTAGTAGAGCAGTGTTATTATCTAACTTTGATTCTATTTTTTGTAGATCATTTCCATTTGTTATTGAATAAATAATAATCAGAAGAAAAAGACACAAGATGCGCATAATGTTATTCTGGTATTTGGCACAACAATGCACTTTCTGTGATATATTGTTTTGAGTTACTTCCCGAAAGAGAAAATATTAAAAATAGATACGCTTGCACTAGTGATAGTTATCTTTTGAGGTCTGCTTAGATTTTACTAATAATAACATGTTATTGTTTATTTCTTTTCACTTAATGGCGAAGAGTGACATTTTCAAAAAGCCTCTTAGTTAAGGACTTTAATGCACCCACTTAACACACGGCTGTATTATATATTATTGGAAACCTTATTATCTGTAGTTTCTGTTTTGTCCGGTCGTAAAGAAATCGGACGGGTCAATTTCTGTAAAATCAAGGTGAAAGTTCAAAAATAAACATTATAGTTCTTGTATGATAAAATGTTCCAAAATATCATATGAACCTTATAAACAGGATACAATACAATAATTAAATAATCAAACGAAAATTAATAGGTTAGTTACGCAATACTTACCGATAATTGCAATTCTTAAACATTCCACCAAAAATGAGAAAATTGCTCTCAAGGCAAAATATCAAATAATGTATGATTTTTAGGTCAAGGATTTTTTTCTTAATTTAAAACCGAAAATCAAATTATAATTTATAAATACGCAAAACAAGAAAGCAAAGTATGAATATACCATGTGGATCAATAGAGGCGGAAGACAACATAAGGACAAGCCAAACTAACAGTTCGAAGAGAAACCGAGAACAATATGGCTTAATTTGAAAACGACATATAGACAAAAAGTGTATAGAAAACGAACGGCTCAGCAACAAGGACTATTATTGTAAGTTACCAACTAGTGCAAAGCTCCAATTTTTTACAAGATTCGTTTTCGTCATCAAAGATGTCAGCGTAGTTGTCCTCTGAAATATTATTTTTTGGGTAACTGGGTCTTAGACAAATATGCTAAATTTGAGTAAGTGTGTATAAGTCAAATACAGTTTATCTATTTATTTTCGGTGATATTTAATTTCCTGGTTGTGCCAATGTCTGCATACAAGCGTGTTCGAAATTTGTAATTTAAATTCGTTGATTAAAAATATTCACGTATCAACGAAAAGTGGTATTCGACTAATAACAATGAATCCACAGAATATAACTTAGAACTAACTAATATATGAGAAAGACGAGTTCTTCGTTTGGAATTAGATTAAAAGGTATTCAGTGGTTAACTACAGAGTTGAAACAATACAATAAGATGATCTATTAAGTAATACTGTGTAATGTGTTTCATTTAATATACGTATAATGTATTGTATATTTGTGATGAGTGGGTAAATGACTGATGTTCAAATGGTCATCTTTTAACAAAATTTGAGATAGTCGCATGCTTTTGTGATAATAAATCCACTTTGTACTATATACTGACAAGAATAATTCGATTTATATTACCAATTCAACAGGAGACTAACTATTGAAAGCTACGAGCTGGCCAGTTTTAATTTTACTCTTAAGTATCGTGTTTAATCGGTGTAGAAGGAAAAACAACCCACTTTAAATCGCGTGTTGGTTGACACCACCAAATTTGTAATAACCATGAATAGCGTAGTATGTTTTACATCGACTTCGGTTTTTTAAAATGTTGTTTATTGACATTAACGGTACCTAATATTGCACTACACGTGAATTTCGACAATTATTCTCTATTCAGTGATGCCCAAAACGTAATACAAATTTTGAAGAGCTAATAATAAAACAAAGACCCAGAGTGAAACAGACCACATAAAAAACCCTATTAAAGTTGATACAAGGGTTCTTTGATGTGTAGAGAGTGCGATATATCACTTAAAGAGGCTTTGAAATGATTAATTCCGATTCCATCGGAATGTAGGTACGTACATGTCACGCTAAGACAAACGGACAATCTTTGCGATAGACGTTGAAACTGACAATAACTTCTATACACCGGGGTACTCTCTGGGATTGAATTGAGATACACAATGTAGTGATAAAAGGGAGGATACAGATTTTAATAACATCGATATAAACAGACAAAACCATGGCCTAAGCAAAACAACGAAAAGACCAACATTGGACCAAAAAACTACTACACAGAAAACTACGCATAGAACGACAAAAACTACACCAAAAATATTTGGCGTGAGTTCAGGTGCTCAGAAAGGGTAGAAGGTTACTGCTCCATGCTGGTGATTCCCGTCGTTTTGTACATGGCATGTGAAATTCGGGTGACAAGTCGCATTCTGTGATGTCAAAATTGGGTAAAGAGAGTGGAACTGCACTACTACTGTGGAACATACCCATAATAACAATAAACCAAATTATAAGGGTGTCTGTAAAAGCTTTCAACGGGATCAACAGTTCAACAGTTTCCTTTTTAGTAGCAACCCTTTATCAAGTAAATCACGATTCGGAACGCACGTTCTGGAATATCGTATAAGCTGGGAGATATATACTTTATATGGATGTACTGCTAGAATATTCTTACAAAGAAATGAATAGTTTGCAATAGGAAAATTTAAATAATCACTTCTTTCGGAAAGTGTAAAGTTTAGTTTTAAACCGATCGTACCTGGCACATTCTAGATGTAAATATAAAAAAGAAGATGTGGTATGATTGCCAATGAGACAACCCTCCACAAGAGACCAGATCACACAGAAATTAACAACTATAGGTTACCGTACGGCCTTCAACAATGAGCAAAGCCCATACCGCACAGTCAGCTTTAAGTCAAGATATGAAGCATAAGAAACTGTACTTGTATTTTTCTCAGGTTCGTTGGGACAATTATAAATACATATATACGACCAACAAAGTAAAAAAAAAAACGTATTAATGACCCTTTTAGTCTAGCTAAAATGAGCGAGTTGATGTTCCTGGAAAAAATCAAACGCAGTGATGGAGTAATAAGGTGTTATTACAACCCTTTTTAATATACCATTTAGGCAAAATGAAAGATTCACAGCAGAATTTATAAACTTGATAGATTTATATAAATTACCACCGCGAAAATCTGGGTGTAAAAATCAACTATTCTGAATGTCTCCTTTTTTATCACTGTAATAGTGAAAAAAAACTGCCTAGTTTTACAGATCTTATGCACTATAAGATCAAACAGGTGTTTGTAGCTGTCCTTATGTCTATAAATTGATTCAAATTTAAGGATCAAATGACCAGACTAGCATGGCCTCTTAATTAGATTACTATATATGTATACAATTTTGTGTCTATTCTTTCTATTCATTTATGCCCGTATGGTCAGTTGTCTTGATTTCGTTAGCGTTCTAATAGTAAACAATAACATAAACGGGACCTATTTCATTGCACCAGATGCGCATTACGACATTTAATCTCTCTTCAGTGATGCTCGAGGCCAAAACATTTGAAAGTCTAAAAACTAATACCAACGTCGTTGAAGTGCTGATAAAACTAAATAGAACCAAAAGTAAAGCCAAACCCGGAAAAGTAATCAGAGCTATAAATGAGGGAGATACATTCTTTAATTTAAATTATTTCGAAATTTTTTAACAGCAAATTTAAAAAGAACAGTTTTCGTATTTTCATACCAGAACCGAAGTGCTGGCTATTAGGCTTGTACATTGTAATACCCACGGGGACTAACATTCATCAGTTAACAATCTCTCTCTGTGTATTTATAAAATGAAGCTGAAGTCTACTTTAGGAAATTAATCTCAAGTCTTCTTGACTCACTGATGCGTTATGATACAAAAAAGGAAAAATACAACATACTTCTAAACTGAATACTCATTATTTATCTGAAATGTTAATTATGTGTGTATCTTAAATTGACACTCTTCGCATCATCATCAACGAGCCTTTCAAAGAATAGTTGTATCCTTTCCAACTACGCCAGTAAACGCCTTGATGGTATCCTTTCGGTGTCTTCAGGAAATACTGACCATTCAGATTAGATGTTACACAGGTATTGAACCACCATGCTCCGGAGTAATATGTAGCACAGTGACTAGGATTGTTATCGTTATCGCTATCCTTTGTTGAGAAACGTTGGCCATTGTGATGTTCTAAGCTGTTACCTGAAAACACGAATACAACATTAAAAATTGAACTATACTAAAAATGCAATTGGTTCATGGGTAAACATGAAGTTATCATCATTATTGTAAAAATGTGACAACCATTGTCTGTCCCCAGATGTAGTTGTGTTTGAGATCAGGCATATACTGTGGATGTACTGGTAAAAACGGTAACAAAATAGTATATATGAAAAGCAAATGATAGTAAAGAAGAGCGCTGTTGTTTGCTGATCATCGTCTTGTATACGGTTACTAACTTTTTTCTCTCAACTTTGTTTAAGAACATCATCACAGATGTACAATAAATGTTATAAACTTCATATTCAATTCGTTTCATTGCAATGATTCTTTGCATTTTTGTTAATGTCTATGTTGTTGGGTTTTTTTCTGTATTGGTTATAATCCAATTTACTGATGAGTCTTTTGTAGACGAAACGCGCGTCTGGCGTAAATACAAAATTTAATCCTGGTATCTATGATGAGTTTATTTATAAGGTCAGCTATTTTTCTCTGAATAAAATGCATCAGGTCTAATAATGATTAATCAATATTAGCACTTTATCCTGCTTCTCCTTTTAATTAGTTGTTTTTCTGGTAGGCTTCCAATTGACATTTTCAATATATTCTAGCTAAGTAGGCCTGAAAGCAACCCATTCTTGAGGGGGTTTGTATTGCTCAATCTTGATCATGCTGTTATTTCCATTTGATGGTTTGTTTTTATAAAGGTAAATATAGGTATGCGTCAATGAGGCAGCAGCCAAACAGCAAAAATAATCATGACATCTAGAGGTCAAGAAACAGTTGTCAAACAAAGTCAGGTGTTCATACAGTGTACAGAGCTCTGATTCGTCCCTAGTCTATAACAGCTAACAGGCGCACTCAAAAATATGCCATTAAACCAATCTTTCCAAATAAATATGAAAATATGACATATGTCAACTACTATTGAGGTTCCCTACTGTTGTGTTTGGGTACTCAAGTAAATCTCACCCTTTTTAAATATAAAAACAGATGACAAGGATATCCATTTGAAAAAAATACACAACAACATTACTTTTTTTACAAACTGCTAATCTTTCCATTCTGAGGGAAAACGCTTGCATATGATAGGCGAAAATAAAACCGTGTAACACAATCAGACCTGAACACCATTGCATTCCTCAAACTAATAAGAAATAACATCCGGTTATTTTTAGACTTTTCAGTTCAACTGCTATAAAATTTGCCCATAAACAAACATATTCGTTAAAACCATAAATGTTCAATAATTACCGAACATTTACCATGTTTGCAATAATTAGTATATGAAAGAGAAAATAAACTTTGAAGATAAAAATAACATTTTATAAGTTTGTATCAAATTCAGAAGGACAATATGTCAGAATGCAACCAGATAAATGATTAACCTTTTTTTAAAATCCCAGGATATATATGCTACATTTATTATAAACCTTGAAGTGAAAACTTTATCAAGAATTTGACATTCTATTATCAATAAGATTCGTGATTTTTCTTCTTCAGATCGAGTATAAGCCCAATGTACCCATACAACTTAACCAGCTTTAAATATCAAAATGTCATAAAATGAAATCCGTACCTGCAGTGCCATAATATCCATCTGCGGTTAATTTGAACTTCGAACTTTCATCACCAATTCTAAACTCTTTGTATTTTGCAAATGCATTGTTTCCATCGAAATCGAATAAATCGATCCGCATTTCATATTTCCCTCGTGATGTTAAAGAGTGCAAAATTTTGTTGCCTAAAAATAACATAACATAAAATAAGAAGATGGTCTGGATGGGGAACCGTTATTTCTTTATTTTGTTTTACTTTTGTTTTATTTTTCTTTGTCATTAAGAATAACGAATATTCTGTAAAATTCTCATAAACATTTCTTAACTATTAAATTTATCTTTACAGTCCGCCAAAAATTAAGTACCACCTATTTTTATTGCATCGATTTTTTTTTTCATTTAAAAAAATCAGTTAATCCTCGAAAAAGTGAAAATATTCATGTAGCAATTTTGCTAACATTTACCATAAATAAACCGTAGACTTAAGTTTGTTCACGTACGCAGGTTCTATGCATTTGAAATTTGCGTTCATAGAAATAGTGAAAATTACACAAATCAAAAACGGAATATAAGTTTCACTGTGATTTTATTTTTTTACAACAATTAATCACCCAATATCATTAAAAGTCTCTACAAATAATCTATAGGTATGTTCGGCAAATTTAATGTCAATATTTGAGTCAATAGGATGTGTAACACCCTCTCTTCCGGTACAGTTCCATAACACGGAGTCTCATATTCTGTACAAGCCTTCTGAACTTTAGTTGAGCAAATTTATTCCGTTCAGCAACAATTGCGCTTCTTAAATCGCTAAGATTTTGCAAAGGTGGATCTCTGCGATTGAGATTTCTGCCAGTACCATCCCAGACATGTTCGATAGGGTTCATGTCTCTAGACATGGAAGGCCAAAAGATAGTGTCAATTGCTTCTTGCTCTTTGTACTCTTTGTACTCGGTTACAATCTTTGCTCTGTGTGGTCTAGCATTGTCATACATGCACAAGGGTCTTGAAGCAAGTGGAGGATTATCAAAATGAGGGACTACAATGTTTCTAAACACCAAATCCCTGTATGTCTGTCCGTTCATGTTACCCTGCAGAATATGCATACCCTACTTATAACAGTATGAGAAGAAACCCCATACTGTAACACCACCAGCAACGTATGCAGTCTTTGGGCAAATGTTGTTTTGGTCATTAGCAGTTTTATTTCCACGACAAACTCGTATTCTGCCGTCTATTGGTCGTAACAGAAACTGACTCTCATTTGACCTATGAACATTTTGCCAGCTTCTCATGTTCCAGTGTCGATGGTCATTAGCCCTTTGAAACCTGATTATACGGTGCCTGGCTGTTGGGACAGGTCTCTTGACAACACGACGTGCTCTTATGTAGCCTCTATGAAGTCGACGGACCAATGTTCGAACACTAACATGACCACCTTCACGCCAGTGGTGTCTAAGTTGTGGGGCAGGAGTAAATGGGTTGGCTTTAGCACAAGCAATAAGGAGTCTGTCATCACGATCGGTAGTTAAACGGGGTCTTCCGGACCTTGGTCTATCATTTAGAGTGCCTGTGTCAACATGACGTAAAAATCTGACAATGATGGTGTGTTTAACATTGATGGTTACCTATGCAACTAGTCCTCCTACCGGCATTTGACATGTCAATTGCTTGTCAAGGTTCAGTCACATATAACTTACCCCTTGCCATATTTCACAGTGACTTGGTGAAGGTCAAATTTCACCTATACGCGGGACAGTAGGAAGATGATTTAAAGGCATCGAAACAGTGTATTCGAAAAAGTGCAGATGACCTTTAATAAAAAATTGCTTGGCGTGTTTATCGGAGTTTATTTGTTTTGGTCGTAATGAATTTTCTTAGTGTATGTTATAGGCAATTCATAACACCAAACATAAATATTTTTTTCGCAATAGTTAAAAAAATATTTCCAGTTATATTTAGGTGGTGCTTAACTTTTGGCGGACTGTATATAATAACATGATTTCTTAATTCTGTACATTCTTAATTTCTGTAATAAATATCATATTGCCTAATTCTTTTATTTTTACATTTATTCTTCATTATTTTGCACCCCATTTTTCATTATTCTTTATTTGTTTTTTGCTGAATTTTCTCTATTCGTTAATTTTTTTTAGCCATTGTTTTTCATTCTGTAAACCCCTTCCAGACCCTCTTGTATACTGTCTTGTCAATGAGAAAACCATCAAACACTTGGTAAGGGTCGTGAGTCTTAATCGCATTTCTTGATTAATCTTCATCAGGAACGCCCAAATCTAAACATTTTAGATTTAGGGGTGTATAAGTATTTAAACAATCAGCAATCAGCAAACACCATACAGTATAAAAAGCAAAACATTAAGACACCGACACGAAAAAATTTAAAATAACTTAAACGAGAAACTCTACGGCCTTATTTATGCTAAATCAATAAACGACAACACATACGACAGACAGCAACCAAGATACTGACTTGGTACATGCATATACAGAATGTGTCGGAGTTAGACAAGTTTGCGAAATAAACTAACAAAAAGACAAAAACGGTACTCGAAATTATTAAAAAAAAAAAAAAAAAAAAAACTGTTTATCAGCCTTTGCTTTCGTTAATCACGATGGCATTCTTTTATTACTTCGAACAGAAGAGATAAAATAAATACCTTGGATTGAAATTATCAAATGTGTACATTTGTATAAATATACAATAACCTTCTATTATTATAAATTGTACCGGAAAATAAATTGTTTTACCGCATTTGATGAAACTGGTAGACATGCGAATATAAAAAAGGAGATGTGGTATGATTGCCAATGAGACAACTACCCACCAAAATTCCAATGAAGTGGATGTAAGCAACTATAGGCAACCGTAAGGCCTTCAACAATGAGAAAAACCCATAACCGTATGGTCGGCTATAAAAGGCCCCGACATGAAAAATATGAAACAATTCAACTGAGAAAACTAACGGCCTACTTCATAACAAAACAATTTACGAAAAACAAACTATTAAAAATTTGGATGTGCTATTCCGTTTGAAATAAGTTTTTTACAAGTACAGCCAAACTTGCAGACCAAATCTTTGTATCTATGAAAGAATTTATATTCTTTCAAGTAATAGTAATCAAGTAATTTGTGGTAACGAAATCCCTGACTAAATAATTTACTAGTAATACAAAGATGACGCTCATTAGAATCCAAAAACGTCACTACAGACACGAGCATAGCGAACGAGTTTGGATATATAAACACCGTAAGACGGTGTCAAAGGAACATCACCGTCCAAAAAGGGAAAATTAACAATTGGAAAAAAAATCATTTCTTTTGTCGTAATTTTTGGGTACAGTTTCTGGCGTAATACTGAAATATCTAAATCTAGGAAAGGACAGTTATTGCTGTTGATATTAGATTTATTTGAAGTAAGTTCCTATAGGTAAATTTCAGCAGTATAATTAGAGAATTCTTGATTATTTAACGAAGAATTATCATCAGATAACGGTAAGTGTTGTTGAATTTATCAATTAAATGGAATTTAGACGGTTCTTTACTGAGTTTAGCCATAAACTCTGATTCATAACAGTAAAGGAACAAGTCTGCTATTAAAGGGACACAATTGGTGCCCATAGGAATACTGTCGATAAACTTTATTGCCGAAACGTAAATAAATGTTGTCAAGGAGAAAATTTAGTGCTTTAATCATCTCATCACACCTCCAGTAAGTATATCTAGCATATTTACCTTTCTCATTAGAGAAAAAGGTTTTGTATGAGTTGAAGCAAATAAATTTGCAACCAGATTTATAAAACGACCATTTGATTAGATAGGGAAATGTTTGTTTGATAAGATTGTGTAGAGGTGTGGTATAAAAAGTGGAAAAGTCAAAACTGTCAACCGAATCAAAAGGACCATCAGAAGCACGTAATTCATCTGAAACATCCAAAGAATTGTTTACACTAAAAAAATGGTTAATTCCACTGTTTTCATATGTTTTATTATAAAAATTAACGATACGTTTTTTGATAGTAGTTAAGGAACTCGTTAAAAGCACAGAAAGATAAGTAGTAGAACACTTACTAGAGGCCAAGATGAAACGATATTTTACGGGTTTTTGATGTAGTTTAGGTAACCAATACATAGTGGGGACCTTCAAATGTTCAGAGGAGGTCTTTAGCTGAGCTGTGGTAGTGACATGATTATTTACTATATGACTCTCTGTAGAGCGTACGGCCTTGAATATATAATTTCATTCTTAAGGACTTCCGTGTAGTATTTACGTCATACTGCCACCACATTGTTGGCTGCTTTGTCGGCCGGTACGAATACAAAACGCTTTGATAGTGTTTGAATTTTGTTTTTAATCCTAGAAATGGGCGTATTAATTACTCTTTTATTTATTTCTAAATTATTTTCGAAATGAGATATGCGAATATCAACAATATTCATACATTTATCTAACTAGGAATCAAGTATAGGTGATCGATAATTTATTTCTAGATTGGTATCAAGAAATGATTTTAAAATACGTCCGACCCACAATCAACTAATGGATTTGGCGTTGTAAAAACATTACAAAACAGTATCCAAAAATGTTCATAACAACTGACGTACATGTCCATTGTTCCAACCTTGTCAGAAGTTGCTATCCGGCATCTTTAATTTTAAATTTGATTTTTAAAATCGGTTGCAATATAAAATTACAGAAATGTGGTATGATTGCCAATGACACAACTATCCACCAAAGTTTAAATGATGTGGATGTAAACAATTATACTTGATATAGGCAACCGTACGGCCTTCAACAATAAGAAAAACTCATACCGTATAATCGGCTATAAAAGGCCGCGACATAAAAAAAAATATGAAATTATTCAATTGAGAAAGTAACGGCTTAATTTTTACCAAAACAATTTAGGAAAAACAAGTATGACAGACAGGAACCAACGACAACCTCTGAACTACAGGCTACTGACTTGGGAAAGGCACAGGGATGTGGCGGGGTTAAACGTTCTTGAGAGCGCGCAACCCTACCCCTAACCTGGGACAGTGATGTTACAGCACAACATAAGAACAAACTTTAAAAATCAGTTGAAAAGGACTTAACTCATCAGATCGGTACAAAGCAGAAAAACATCTAACAAAAACACAGGCCAAACGTGGCAGAGTACTTATACATCCCTTACAGAAAAAAGACAGATCTGAGAGTATTCGAAGTTACTGACAGATTGTTCAACGCCAATAACAACTAATACAAAAATCATGTATCTAATACTACAATATCAATCAGTACACATCCAACATCCAATTGGTTTAATGTAAAGACGTCATTAACAGTCTGAGAAAACATGAACTTGTGCAATGCCAAAATATTGGGATCGACAGATTGTAGTACCGTGAAAGTGCATATGTGTATAACAATAATACTAAGTATGGTTTTAATTTACTGATAGGAAAATCAATATTTATACCAATAAAAACAATATTCAAAGATATTATTACAGTGTTGAATTGGTAATCTTTTAGAATAAGTTTATTTAAAGGATTGATAAGTTTACCCGAATCGTTTCTAAATTTCATCTTTTAGTTTCTTATATTGTTTGAACAATACACCTTAACTCTACCAATTGCGGTAAATAATATCGCACTCGTTCATAAAGTAACAAACTGCAGGACGACATGTCACCCCCTACTTTGACACACATTATTCTGGGTCCGAGTAAATATTTGCTCTTACTCCTTTATGCAGCGTACATAACGAAGAAGTAACAAATGCCAATTTTAAACTGTTGCCTTTATTTATACCATTTGATTTAACCTTGTCGGAAATAAGATCCACTCCTCTCGCACTCGAAGTAAGCACACAAGTACGAGACGTTTATTTACGATTCTCATCAAAAATGAACATAGTTCAAGCCATTTCATGCTTAAAATTATACAGATATCATTGTGAAATTTTTTAGTTTTATAAAAATTGATAATTACCACGTGGATCACTGTTTACATATTACTCGGAAGAAATTATTCCGGGTATTCTTTATTTTGATTGGTAAACATGTTACCTGGATATAGGACGCTCATATACATTTCTTTGTTTCGGGATTCGCGGCACATTTGAAATTTATTGTTGAAATTATTTCCCCTCCCACCCGCCTCTTACAACTGTGTTAGTTATTTTTTTTATGTATTTATTTTAAAAAATGGTGCTTATTTAACTGGCTAGCTCAAATATGTATTCGATCTGTTTGGCTTATTATATTTATTTATTTCTAATGACTTGTCGCTAATTTGCTTACTAACAATTTTGATGTGACTGTCAGTTTACAGTTAGATTCTTTATCCTGTGCTGTGAAATATATTTGTATGTCTTTTTTATATATTGTGCCGTAATAAAATTGAGTAACTTTGATTTCTTTTGTGAGAAGCCTAGTAATTCGGAAATCATTTTCAATTTTTGAGACTATGAATATCTATTCTTAACTTCTAATTTTGAATAAATGACGTCAATAAACATCATTTTCGATGCTTGTTATGATTGTTGAAGACTATTATTAATCCGATGTGTTAATTCACTTTAAAGGCTATTATCTTGAATCCTATCTAATTAACGAAAGTCTGTCATTAAATTCCGTATGTTTATCACTGTTTTCGATCTAGAGCTTAAAAAGGTTAGATTCCAAGGGATATTATCGTAGTTGTTTAAGTTTAGGTGTATTATTCAAACAATACAAAGAAACTGAAAAATAAACTGATTTGAAAAAAAAGACATATGTTTATACTGAGATGATGATTATGAAAATGGTTCAATATAGTGTAATCATGTGCATACTAACCAAGCCAAAATTCATGCTTTGGGTTTCCGAATCCGGATTTGTAGTCATTCCATCCACGGTAAAAATCAGTATAGCCATTTTCTCGTCTTTGAAAAACCTGTAAACATATTCAGACAATACAATGAGAAGTGCAAGACAAATAATTTCGAAGAGGTTCAGAAACTTAACGTTATGGGTTTTAAAGATAGAATGTGTGAACACTCCTAACCTGGCATGTTCTATGAAATGTTGCAAAAAAAAAATTTCCTCGTGCGAAACGTTCACATATAGGAATTAAATAACTGGTGTCGCTCAATCTTCACTTATATATGCAGTATTTTGTGTACTGTTAAAGATGATATTTTATCCATGTTTGTTTTCGGTCATGTATCTGTTTTTCGTCGACTTGTTGTTTTTTTCCTTAGTAAATTTATCTTTTCTCTCTTTTTTGTATACAAAGATAGTTTCAAGAAGCCATGCAAAATATCATCATCGCTCCTCTATGTGTGCAGTATATTGAAATAAAATGTGTTTTATTGTGAACATTAATCAATTTCAGGTAAATCAAGGCGGATACATTATACATTTTTCTAGAAGTATTAATACGTTCTTCTTTGTTTGACAAAAAAAAAGAAGAAATAATAAAATGAAGAAACTAGTAAGTTAGGATTTTCATAGACTACGAAGACCATCTGAATATAATAATCTTCGCTAATCAACATGATACATACATGTGCAATATAGACTTGAAGGACTAGTGTTCTTGAAATATCGAATATTAAATGGTACATGTATGTTTATTTCAAATTTACTTATAGAGAAGGAATTTGAAAATTACATGTTAGGAACTACCCAACTCATTATAGTTCTTTATTCTAATATTAAAATATGTGTTTTAAAATAAGTTTTATTTATGAAAAGTAACTTACCGTCCAGTGTCCCTCGTCTAAATTCATTTCACAATAAACATCAATTCCTTTTGTATGCTTTGGAAACACCTTATATACTCCACTTGGACATTTGCCAGGAATTTCATTACAGTCAATAGGTCTTCCTTCTTAAATAAGATCAAAACTACTGATTCTGAATTATTCTGGATTTTTAAGCGCACTATATTTATCCATATCAACAGATGTACATCTATACACTTTAAAGATTGATAGCAAAATATTACCTTACATTTTGAATTGAAACTTAACGTAATCACAGTGTAAAACAATTAAATGATTTTTAAAAATCATATTCCATCTGTTCTATAGTGGAACTATTTTTTTTTTAGAATTAACACTAGACATTTAATGAGAACAATATTTTGATTTATAGCTAATAAATTTGGTACCTTGGCATTTCGACGGCCTTTTGAAATTATCCTTTGCGCAAATGCCTAAAATTAAAGAAATAACAACATTTAGTTGATCTTTATTTTATGTTACCTTTATCTACATTATGAACGTCTGGATTGGATTCCCAAATAGAGAATAATTGGCCAAAAAAAAAAAAAAAAAAAAAAAAACCAAACAAACAGCAAAAGAAAAACAAAGAATAGTCAAACATGTGCTAAATAAATAAATAATAGAGAATAATAGGGTTTTTTTATATAATGAAAATAAAATAATGGGGGTTCTTAAATATAACAAATAAAGAATAATGGATAAAAAAAGACAAAAAAGCCTATACAATTAAAACCTATCTAACGAAAATAGCTTGTGTTCAATTGTTTAATATTTTCTAATGTCAGACACCAAACCTGCTAAGTCAAAGTTTAGCTTTTGTTTTTAATGTTGAAATTTTTATTACAATATTTTAAACCTTTAATGTATAAATTTATTTCCTAAATATTACTTACAAGATTCTTCAGTAGTTTCATTAACCAATTTAAAAATTAAGGATGAAAATGTGGAAATTGTTTTCGGTTCATTCGTATGAAAGACTTGTTATGCAAGACTTGTCACTGTCAATTAAAAAGATGCTCCCCCTAACGATTTTTCAAGTACGTTATGTTTACGATCATCCTTATTTGTTGGTATAATAGCAGAGTATTCATAATTTTGAAATTGCGTATATTATCTAAGAAACTGAATTAGCTTGTCTATCTAGTACAAAGCAGGGTACATTTCTATTGCAAACATGTAATCTCCTGACCATGCACGCTATTTAAGGGAAAGAATTAAGTATTACAGTATAGAAATAAGGAGATGTGGTATGATAGCCAATGAGACAACTATCCACTAGAGTTTAAATGCAGTGAATGTAAGCAAGTATAGGCCATCGTACGGTCTTCGACAATGAGAAAAACCATACAGGCATGTTTTACCCCGCCACATTCTTCAAATACCTATCTTTAAGTAATTATTAAACTAACAAAAAGTGCACACGCTGAAAAGTGTCGCCTGCTGAACTGATCATGATTGAACCTATGTTGAAAATCTATGAGAGAAAGATATATAGACGAGTGACATGTTTTTAAAAAAAAACTCCTTAGTTAAGGAGTTTAATACACCAATCTAATACACATCTGTAGTTGTTAAAGGCAAATAAACACGCCAGACAGACACGTAAACCGCACAGACATTTGATAACCAAATATTGTCAAATGAAAACTTTAAGTTGACTAATAAAACATTGAAATAAGGTATCGTTAAGATGAACTCTGTCAGATAGCCATGTAAACCTTATAATCATTCCATGCTTCAAATATAGTTGACCTATTTCTTAAATTCTCGGACAATAACACGAAAAAATTGACCAATTAACCAAGAAAATAAGGTCAATGCCAGATCAAACCTGCCAGACAGACGTGTACATTTTACAATCCTTCCTTACACTTAATATAGTTGACCTTCTACTTGTAGAATCTGATTATGAGATATAGACTAACACTTGACCACGAAAACTAAACCCTGATCACTGGTCCATGAAATAAAGTCGAGGCCAAATGAACCGTAACAAAAGGACATGATACCTTGCAAAAGAGGGCCGAAAGATACCAGAGGGACATTCAAACTCATAATTCGAAAATAATCTGACCACGCCATTGCTAAAAAAAGAAAAAGAAAAACATACAAACAATAATACACAAAACGTATCATAGAATCCCATTAACCAAATGTAGTTATCATATTACTCATTATAACTGAACCTTCACATGACAAAAAACTATACAGTTCAGGGTCAAATTATTTCCCTTGAAAGATGATGTGTAAATGTTACCTCACTTAAATATCAATTATCATTGAAAAACCATTTATGTTTTATCTTAAACTTAAACTTTAGCAATTGATTGTTTTTAACACAGGAAATAGAACACCACTGTCTTGCTTCCATGACTTAATCAAAAGGAAAGCAAATTAAAGTGCTTGTGAGCACTGAGTGGTAAAGATTGCGGGAACTAAAAATTAAATATTACATTGTATTTACCATTAAAAGGCAATGCTAGGAATTGGAGATATAATGTTTTAAGTAAGTTAAACTACAATCTGGACAAATACAAATTATATTATTTCTCAAACAAGGCCATCATATATAGATTTTTAGAACATTTACCCGATTCTAGAATATCTGAATGTATGTATCATTGATAAATTTATTGAAATAGTTATGCATAGGATGTATAGAATCATGTGTTCAATGAACCATGTTCCGTTTATCTCAAAAGTAGTGCTAAAGTTTGCAGAAGTGATTACTATCAACCCAGCCACACTAGGGTTTTTGATTGCATAATTGCAATATTTACCAAATAAATCATTCAAACAAGAGTGACATCAACTGACAGTTATAGTTTGCATGAGTCCTACACGGTTCGATAAGCCAGGTGGAGTTTAGTGCAATGACATAACATTTTCTAGTTTTTTTTAAATAAACAAGTAAAGTATCATATGAATATATTCAGTGATATCAATAAAAAATAAAGATAGACCATTAATGCAAATTTTTTTTCTATGTCATGCAATATAAAATTTGATTATATATGTTACTTATACGTTAAAATGCCAGTTTTTTTTATATTTTAATATGAGGCACCTGAGGGTGACACTATATTCTAACAGATGACTTAGCAGGTGACAACTTTTTATTTCTAATGTTTGTACCCCTTAGTACTACATTTGTTCTAACATGATTAACCCTTAAAAACTGGCAAAACAAAAATCGACAATTTAAAAGACAATATCAGTACAATAATAATTATGCTTTTTATGTATCATTTTTTCATTTTTAGTAGTTATATTCCATTTGTCCAAACTTTTTGAGTTCTATATTTTAATTAATACGCCACGTGTAAGTTCAAATTGAACGGACTTCATTTACAGTGGCGTGATCCTAAAAAATTATCAAACAGGGTTATGAGGAGAACGACTGATTTCAGCAGAACAAACATTTCACGGTCACCATTCACAAATTGATCGACCAAAAACAATCGGACTATATCTCACCTTATGAGAGACATGTGGTCCTTGTCTTAAACCGGAAAAGACGTCTGATTGGTGAATTTACTCACTGCGCCTTTTTCACAATCATGATATTTTGAACGAGTATGGACACCCATGCTTGGTTACGCTCACGGTCTGGCTCCTTTTGAGGTTCCTGCGATTCCCCAATTTATTTTTATTTTGTTTTGTTTACGGATAAAAAATAAAATAACAAAAATACCGAACTCCGAGGAAAATTCAAAACGGTAAGATCTTTGAGTTATGTTCATCAGTATATACGTATACTGATTTGACTTTTATTCAACAACAAGATTCCAAATGGAGATAGAAGAGACCGAATAATTATTGTCAAGGTTAAATATTCTGACTATTTAGGTTGATCTTTTTTTGTGAGCATTTGAGTCTCCTCCCTCCAATAAGAATTTGTCTTCATTTACAACTGAGGTACAACTATTTGAAGATAGCTCTGGCAATTTGTGCACTATCAAAATACCATTGTTGTAAGAATATACATATGTACATACCGTTTGGAAGTCGGCTGAGTATTTCTTGCAGGTTTTCAGTGTTATCATCTAACTTTGATTCTAGTTTTTGTAACATTCGTAAATAATCTCCTTTTGTAATCGAAAAGAAACTAAGAAAAAGGCAACCAAGCAAAATTTGCATTTTCTTTATGTTTGTTTCTTACAAAATTTAACACTTTCTGTGATATTGTTTTAAACGTTATTTTCGAAAAGAGAAATGATCACGCAACTATGTCATTAGATGTCGTGTCATTAAAACAGGAGATAGTTTGCTAGTTTATATATTATTTTAAACAACTCAAATATCAATATAAGGAAACTATCGATTTTGTCAGAAATGAAAACAAGACATGTTTGCAGTCAGTCAGTCAATGAAAATTTAAAGAAGTTGTAAAATGTACTGGCCGGATCTAAGTAATGTCTTCTGATTTTTTATTTCTTTGTAGTTGATTGGAGTATATAGACCTTGAACGATATAATTAAAAAGAGAAATTGTTCATTATTTGAAATTAATTAATTATTCCAGCAATATCTAAGTAAAACTCGTTTTCCTACTCAAGGATATCATACATAATTTACAAAAGATAAGTTTATCATTCCGAGTGCATGCATTTGCCAGATCACATGATGTATTGTCACATGTGCAATGAAAGGCATAGCATGCTTTAACTAAGAAGGAGGTATGATGTAGCCTAAAATGTGGTCCCTTCGTTTAAAAAATTAAAAAGCATAATCCCCTAAAAGTAACAGTAAAAAGAGAAAAAGATACCAAGGATTCAATAAAAATCCTAAAGGAAATCAATAGACTACACCATAGTATGAACAAAATACTAAAGTAAAACAATAGACTACACAATAGTATGAACAAAATACTAAAGTAAAACAACAGACTACACCATAGTATGAACAAAATCCTAAAATAAAACAACAGACTACACAATAGTATAAACAAAATTCTTAAACGAAACAACAGACAACACCATAGTATGAACAAAATCCTAAAGTAAAACAACAGACTACACCATAATATGAACAAAATCCTAAAGTAAAACAACAGACTACACAATAGTATAAACAAAATTCTCAAATGAAACAACAGACAACACAATAGTATGAAAAAGAATCCTAAAAAAAATAACACACTACACAATAGTATTAACAAAATCCTTAAGTAACAGACTGCTCAGTAGTATGAACAAAAATCCTTAAGTAAAACAACAGACTTCACAATAGTATGAACAAAATCCTAACCTAAAGTAAAACAACATACTACACCATAATATAAACAAAAAGATGAAAACACATGCATTCAATTTCGGAATACTTAAATATAACAAAATATCCATACATTTATTTAATCATTTTGTATTGAAATATTATTAAACGCATATTTTATAAGTTATGGATAATAGTATATAATGCAAATTTCATCAGCGAAAAACATTCTTGAAATTATCTGAGCTGAATTATTAATAAAAATTCATAATAGGATAAAAACTCTTGTAGTCCAGCGGTTATAAGCATAATTGATCACTTTATGGTAAAAACATTAAATTTGGCATAGTGAAAGATTAAGAGTATAAACAAAATTTAGATATGGAGCAACGAAAAAAGATTCAATATGGCCGCCAAAATAAAGATGGACGACATAAGGTACTGGGAATACAACATCATACACTTGATAAAGTGTACGAATAACAAGAGCTCAGTAGATACCACTAGTTTAAGGAAATACATCTAAGATATGCTTATATTATTTTTGCAACTTTATCAGTACATAGTTAATCAAAATGGCGTCAAAATTCAAAATAACACCGTCAAAAATGTCAGAGTTTGACTATATTAATATATATGTATATACACTATCAATGTGGTATAGAGAGTTAACAAATTTGTGAAACTGATTAAGTAATGTAGGCACTGGCCTATAACGTATTAATTATACCAGGGCGCCGTGACAATGTCAATTTTTTTTTGTAATAATGGGGTATAAAATTTTATAAAATTGAGAATGGAAATGGGGAATGTGTCAAAGAGACGACAACCCGACCATAGACAATAGCCGAAGGCCACCAATGGGTCTTCAATGCAGCGAGAAACTCCCGCACCCGGAGGCGTCCTTCAGCTGGCCCCTAAACAAATATGTATACTAGTTCAGTGATAATGGACGTCATACTAAACTCCAAATTATACACAAGAAACTAAAATTAAAAATGATACAAGACTAACAAAGGCCAGAGGCTCCTGACTTGGGACAGGCGCAAAAATGCGGCGGGGTTAAACATGTTTTTTGAGATCTCAACCCTCCCCCTATACCTCTAGCCAATGTAGAAAAAAACAAACGTACAACAGCACGCACAGTAAAACTCAGTTTAAAAGAAGTCCGAGTCCGATGTCAGAATAGGAAACAAAAGAAAATAAACAAAATGACAATAATACACAAATAACAACAGACTACTAGCAGTTACTGACATGCCAGCTCAAGACCTCAATTAAACTGATTGAAAGATTATGTCTTCATCATATGAATATCAGGTACAATCCCTCCTGTTAGGGGTTTAGTATTATACCATCATAAAATATACATGATATACGAGAAGAACATAACCCGTGTCATGCCAACAACTGGTTTTAGAAAAAATATGTTTAATTCAGATGCAAAGACCCTATAAGTGAATCAATATTAAAGCCAAAATATGCAATCTTTAATGACCTGACAACAGTATCGTAACTATATCCCTTCTTAATAAGTCTGTTTAAAGGTTTTGTTAGCTTTTGAGGTGAACACTGACATTTTTGTGCTTTGTAAAGAATATTACCATAAAAGATTGGATGTGAAATACCTGAACGTATAAGATGTCTGCATGTTGAGTTATATTTACGAATGATGTCCTTATACCGATGATAAAATTTAGTAAATGTTTTGACTAGTTTATGATATCGAAAACCCTAGTGTAATAATTTTTCAGTGGCACATAAATTTCTCTCGTTAAAATCTAATACGTTGTTACATACACGAGCGAATCGTACAAGTTGAGATATATAAACACCATGAGCTGGTGACAAGGGAACGTCACCATCTAAAAATGGATTATTAACGATAGGAAATGAAAAATCATCTCTTCTATCATAACTTTTTGTATTAAGCTTCCCGTTAATGATATAGATATCAAGATCGAGGAAAGGACAGTGGTCATTGTTAGTATTAGCTTTATTTAAAGTAAGTTCAACAGGATAAATTTCTTTAGTATACATACTGAAGTCGTCATTATTGAGAGCCAATATATCATCCAAATATCTAAAACTATTGTTAAATTTTTATATCAGATGTTGTTTCGATGGGTCTTTGCTGATTTTAGTCATAAATTGTAACTCATAACAATACAAAAACAGGTCCGCAATAAGTGGTGCACAGTTAGTCCCCATTGGAATTCTGATAACTTGACGATATACGGAATCTCCAAAGCGAACAAAAATGTTTTCAAGTAAAAATTCAAGGGCAGATATAGTATCAAAGCATGTCCAATTGACATAGCTCTTTTGTTTGTTGCTACTAAAAAATGACCTAAAAGAGTTTGAACATATGTACTAGTATTCGCATTCCGACTTTTTAAATGCCCATTTAATTAGGTGTGGGAATTTTTTCTTAATGAGAATATGAGGCAAAGTGGTATATAGGGTAGAAAAATCAAAACTTTGAACAGATTCAAAATCACCAATATATGCATGCAATTTATCAAGTACTTCCAACGAGTTTTTGACACTCCAAAAGTAGTTAATTCCACTATTTTCAAAGGCCTTATTTGAATAATTTATTATCATGTTTTTGATTGTACCAAGTGTACTAGTAAGTAGAATAGACAATTTAGTAGTGGAACAATGACTTGAAGACGAAATAAATCTATATTTGTAAGGTGATTTGTGTAGCTTCGGAAGCCAGTACATAGTTGGGACTTTCATTGTATTTGGTTCTGCTTGTAAAGAAGTAGCTTATAGTTTATGTTTGTTACAGATATCGTTTTCTGAAAATGAAGTCAGTTAGAATGTTGGTGAATTCGTGATTTCCTTTTGCAGAACCTCAATGTAAAATTTACGTCAAACTATAATGATAGTATTAGCAGCTGTATCAGCCGGGACAAAAACAAATTCCTTGGCTAGTTCTTTTAGTTTATGTTTGATATGAGAAATAGGATTTTTATGGTTGTTGTTAAGAGTAAAATGTTCTTTAAAATGTTGTATACGTATATCAACTATCTTCATTACTGAATTAAAAAAAGAATCCAAAGATTTTTTGTCAGCTTTTTTACGTTTTATCCATTTCAAACAGTAAGCACGAAGTGAGTCGTGGATGATATTACGACACTCATTCCAATTAATAGTTGACATGGGACGATATTTAGGTCCTTTACTGAGGAATGATTTTAACTCTCGGTCGCGAACGATGTTAAGGTCTCCTGTTATAACATGGGAAATGGGGAGCATTTATTTGGATACAAATGCAAACCAGCATATTATTTTTTTGTAATAGGTGGCACAAACTATGAAATGAAAATGGTCGATACAATTTAAAATGGCGTCTCTGACAAGGTCTAAATTTACACAGTTATAATAAATGTTTTCATAACTTCAGAAGATCTTTCAATTTACTAGCAATGACGAATATTTAAGAAACCCTACAAAAACAAGTCTTTCTTTTTTCAAAATGTGAGCAAAAATAAAAATAGTGCCTCAAAAGTAACTATTTGGCAAAACAACTTTATAGAAAATATTCATATTATTGATTACTGAAAGAAGATCTTCATGCAGGATAACTAAAATTTAGTGCAGTCTCAATCACTTTCTCACAGTCCGGTGAGCAGCTACATAATACATGCTTTGCATTTCAATGCTACTTTCAAGCATTTTCATGACCCTTGACATCCTTTCGTACATCCACAGTTGATGAGCCCTTGACATGACATTGCAGCTTGTGCAAGCCCTGAACAGAATGGTACTTACAAACAAGATGTTGCCAACCAAATAAATTGGGTAGAAGCATACCATGATTTGCGACTAAACAATCACCCTCTAATTAAAATAACACTTCCTTGGGAAGCTACATGTTTTGTCTATGTATTAGTGCATCTTGTGTCGGCGGAAAATTGCCAATAGTTCTTGTCTTCTGTATGAATATATGTTTTCTTAATTCATTCACTGTATTAGATTGACTAGACCGATCATACAAAAGCACAACATACCG